TCTTCTCATCGTTCCTATCACCCATCTTCTCCCACTTATGACTATATGACTATAACCTTGTTGCTGGTATCCTTAAGATTTATATTGACTGTTTCCCTACGACTATTGTTAAGTGTTGTACCTTATGATTCTTGACAAATGTATCTTTTCTTTTATGTACTCCAAGAGCGTATGCACCAAGACAAATTCCTTGTGTGTCTAATCACACTTGGCCAATAAAGAATTCTATTCTATTCTATTCTATTCTATTCTATTCTATTCTATTCTATTCTATTCTATTCTATTCTATTCTATTCTATTCTATTCTACTCTACTCTACTCTACTCTACTCTACTCTACTCTACTCTATCTGCATGAATATATCCACATTTTAAGGGCTAGTTTTTAAAATAAATACAGGTAGTCCTCAATTTACAATAGTTCATTTAGTAACTGTTCAAAGTTACAACGGCACTGAATAAAGTGACTTATGACCATTTTTCAGTTACAACCTTTGCAGCATCCCCATGTTCTTGTGATCAAAATTCAGATGCTTGGCAACTGGTTCACACTTATGACCATTGCTGTGTCCCAGGATCACCTTTTGCGACCTTTTGACAAGCAAAATCATTGGGGAAGCAGTGATTCACTTAACAACTGTGGCAAGAAAGTTCATAAAATGGGGCAAAGCTCACTTAACAAATGTCTCATTTAACAACATAAATTTTGGGCTCATTTTGCAGACATAAGTTGAGGAGTACCTGTAAACCATTCTTTGCTGTATATTGTGAAATTCTATGAAACCTCCTTTTATGTTCATTGAAGGCTCATCATCATCAATCTTGTTTCAAGAATTACTGGAAAACCATGTTTGATACAACAATGATCCATAGTAATTTTCTGATTGCAAATTAGGGATTCTTCGGGGATATGAAAGCTAATGGATATTGTAATTGGCTGATTCCTGTTCTATAGTCATAGAAAGCTTGAGCCAATTCTTAAATTGGACCTATATTGGAATACTAAATGCCACTAAGTGACTTAAGAGATTCTTACCAGGAAAAAGTTTTCATCAGTCAGTGCCAGATGGGTATTCTTACCTGTCTCTTTGTTCATGATGGCATTGTAATAGGCAAAGAATGCCCTAAATTCTGCTGGCCGATGAGCCATAACCTTAAACACATTGGGCAAAAACCCAGTCTGAGGATTAAGAAAAAAAATAGTCAGACATCATTTATGTAAGAGGCTATCCAACATCTGTATTATTTCAATTCACAGATACTGTAGTTACAAGGCAGAATTAGTTTGGATCATGTACAGATAGTCCTCAATTTATGACAGCTGGGACCAGAATTTTTGTTCCTAAGCAATATGGCTGTTAAGTGAATTATGACTTATTTTACAACTTTTGCCAGAGTTATTAAGCAAATCATTGCTGTTGTTACGTGAATCATATGGTCATTAAACAAATCAAGCCCCCCCCCCCCTGACTTTGTATGTTGGAAGCTGGTTGGGAAGTTGCATACAGCGATCACACAACCCTGTATTGCTGCAACCAACATAAGTACATGGCTGTTGCCTAGTGCCTGAATTTTGATCGTGTGACTGAGGAGAGGCTGCAGCTGTTATAAGCATGAGGATAGGTCATAACTAATTTCTTTCAGTGCCACTGTAATTTTGAATGGTTGCTAAATGAATAGTTTATTCAAGGACTACCTGTGATGGAGTATTAAAGAATGATGTTAATGGAAAATAATAATGGCTCAATTGAAAAACGTATATTTTCCTAGAAGGAAATCTCTAGTTTTCAAGTCTTGTCCTTTCCAATTGAAAGGTTGCTGGCAGGCAAAAATCTAGAGCACCACGTTAACCACACTTAGCTACATGGAGTAATAAAATTATCTATCAGATTTTTAAAAAATGTCTATCAAATATGATTGCTTCCAAACAATAGCCCTGAGATCCAGTGAGGCTCAACAGATGCTCAGTCATCCTGTTGACTCCAGTTATAGTTCTAGAAAGTGAGAAGAACAGGAGATATACAGTTCCTGAAGAAGAATGATTGATGGCTTTGCAGGCACACATTATTATCCAAGTGTCCAATCCAAGATACATCATTTAATTCATTAATGTTTAGAGTACCAAATTCAGACAATGGTTAATCAGAATTTTTATATTTTCATGTCCTGCTAAAAAACATCCTTCACTTCAGATGCCTCTCACTGATATAATGGACAAAAACAGCTACCAGAAGGTATCAGAGTCGAAGGGAAAAATTGTTAAGATAGGAAATATAGTCCTACAATAATGAAAGTAGCATAGGCAGGATTGTTCCAGTAAGGTATTTTTACCTTTACTTCCATTTCCTCCATGAGTTCCACTATATCATATGGCAAATCCGTCTTCTTGGGTATTGGATAGCGTCCAATCTCCTTAGTAATATTTTCTCCTTCTGTATTCTTTGGATGATTCAGTGCTACACTTTGGGATCTTCCCCATAGGTTTCCTGATACACTGAGAGGAAGAAACTAAAATACAGAACAAAAGATAAACTTTCATTAATATAGGATATTAAATTATTACTTGTACTTTTGATTGTCTAAAACAGCTACAGTCCTTAAGAGCTTCAGTATCACTGCAGGTACAAGTTCTAAATAGGCATTTCAAACTAGTGCAGTGAGATTGCTACACTCCCCCACGTATCATTTTGAAGAGATGCTCTCCCCAGTGATAAATCTGAGTTTACTGTCAAATATAATTATAGCTTTTTAAAGGCATACTGTATACAATATGTCACCCATCTTACTATTGGAGCAACTCTTTTTAGGAGTATGTATGTGAAGGGCTATGAAACAGAAAAATGGTCAAATATCTCCCACTTTTGAAACTCTTAAAAAATAGAAGTGAAGGAACTGCTGAGCTGAATTTTTTCAGAGAAGTTCAAATTCTGAATGGAGACAAATGTTTTTTTTGACATAAAGGCCAGATGAAGCACAGGAGCCCCCCCAGGATTGTGTGCTAAGTCCTTTCCTTTATTCCTTGTACACACATGACTGTACCCCATTGTATAACACCAACGCAATTATTAAATTTGCGGATGACACAACAGTGGTGGGGCTCATTAATAAGAACAATGAGTCTACTTACAAGAAGGAAGTACAAGGACTGACATTGTGGTGTAATGAAAATAATCTCACACTTAACACCACAAAAACTAAAAAATTTATAATTGACTTCAGGAGGAAGAGAGATCTACATTTACCATTGTACATAAATGGTGAGGAGGTGGAGAGGGTGGGTAGTTTTAAATTTCTGGGCCATGAGAGGTCTCGGAGGACCTCTCATGGACTATGAATGCTAACATGCTTGTGAAGAAGGCACACAAGAGGCTGTATTTCCTGAATCTATCTCAGCATCTACTTCTGTCCTACTATCGCAGCACCATTGAGAGTGTCCTGACATACGGCATTCTTGCATGGAATGGGAGCAGCTCTATAGCAGACAAAAAAGCTCTACAGAGAATCATTAAAACTTCCCAGAATATCATCGGACTCCAGCTACTAGCCCTGGACTACATCTTTGAATCTCGCTGTTTGAGAAAGTTGCATAACATTCTCAGAGACTCTTCCCATCCTCCTTACAATCTTTTTGGACTGTTGCCTTCTGGCAGAAGATACAGAACAATTAAAACTCAGACCACACGTTTTCTGAATAGTTTTTATCCCAAAGCTATAATTGCACTCAATAATGAACTAAAGGGCCACCATCAGTGAGCTGTTGGACAGTATTACTTGGTTTGTTGTGTGGATGCTTGAGTGGTTTAGGGGTGGGGAATTGTGGTGGGTGGGAGTGTGTTTGGGGATTGTTATGTGTGTTGGACCTGGTCTTTGAGTGTTAAATGAATTTCGTTGTATTGGTATACTGTATATACATGTACAATAACAATGAAGTTATTATTATGAAATGAGAAAGCAGTGATATTGTGAGATTCACAATGTCACTTTCTCACAAGGAATTCTCAAGGGATTATTACTTTCTCACAAGGGATTATTACTTTCTCACAAGGGATTCATAATATCTTCTAATGTTATGCAAAAACAACAGTAACTAACAGCTTTATACCATTTCACTTATGGTTGGGATGATGTTATGAAGACACTAAGTAAATGGGGAAATCTCACTTTGGATAGTGAAATACTCTGTGTGTGTGTGTGTGTGTGTGTGTGTTTATGTGTAGGGACAGAGGGAGGGAAGGAAGGAGAGCTAGGGAAGCAGCTATATGCAATGAGCTGCTGTATCTCTTCTTTTCCTCATCAACATTTCTGTCAAGAGACCAGCTGCTTTTGATTCTCTCTGCTTTGGTGAATCAATGGCCTCCTCCATACTCAGGAAATTTTACACTTTCTGAAGGACACAAGGTGGGGGGGGGGGAGCTATTGAGAAAGGGTTCCAATAAACGAGATTGTGCTTTTATCCCAACAGGAGAGAGAACCCTGCAATAGGCCATTTCACAATAAAGCGTTCCAGAGTTCAAGTTGAATTAATCACTGGGCGCCCAGTTGCAGAAGATCTGTTAGCTGCAAATTTCCCTTTAACCTCCTCACTCTTAACGTACTGCACTAACGGTATAAATATAAAAGAGCCGAACCCCATCATCTCCCACGGCTCCCCCTGGCCGAAAGCGCTCCCTGTTGAATTAGGTCCAACAAGCGCCGCTCCAGGAAACCCTCGACAGCCCGTTTCTAGGCGAATAGGGTGGAAATATTAATAATATAATATTAAGGGGGGAGGCGCGCGGCTGCGGGAGCCCTACTCACCGAAACGGAGCCGCCACCGCGGCGGTGGAGCTGGAGGAAGCCGGAGAGGAGAAAACGCTTGATCATGATACCCTTGCGGAAAACAGAACCGAGCAATCCGAAATGCCAGCCTTCGGTGGGTATTGGGAGGTGAGAGGAAGCACGCATGCCCGACACTGTCTCCCCAAACCCGCCTCCTTTATGATATCATTGCGAGCGCGCCTCTCAAAGCCAAGCTGTCCTGTATTGTATTGTAGGGCCCAAACTGTTGTGGGCTCCTCTCTCTTAAGCATGGCGTGGGGAGAAATGAGATCGGAGTCGATGGGAGATAGTGAAGCTCGAGAAGTAGGAAAAGTTGCCACTGAGAAACTGTACGAGGCAGGCGGGGATGGAGAGGAGGAGGATGAATTAAGTTCCAGATGAGAAGAAGCAACACAACTGAGATTTGGAGGTGGGAGAGGATGTGGTCCAAGGCTTGCTTCATTGGGTTGTTATAAAGAGCGAGTAAGTCTGCCTGGAAAATCACTGTTACCGTTTTTTAAGATTAGGGGGTTACCCTAACTCCTATTATGTACACATTTTGGAAATCCAGGTGGTTCTCACTTCTGGTGTTCCTGTAATGCTGTGCGGGGCTGCTTAGGGTCTACTGTGCTTGAAAAGAGTAAATAGTGAACTCAAAGGCGTTTTTTCAAAAGGCAACTGGACTTTTGTTTTTTCCTTATGGAAGACGTTTCGCTTCTCATCCAAGGAGCTTCTTCAGTTCTGAATTCAGCCAAGATTGAAGAAGCTTCTTGGATGAGAAGCGAAATCTTCCTCAGGGAAAAAACCAAAGTCCAGTTGCCTTTTGAAAAAAGTGCCTTTGAGACAAAGCATAATCTGGATGACGGAAATCTTCATAGACATAAAGAATGAGTTGTTGGAATAAGCATCTAAGGACAGTATATCCTCATTAAGAACACTATTTTTATTTAGTATTCATTGTTTTATTTACTTTAAATTTACCAAGGTATGGAGATGAAATGTGATTAAAGAACTATGAAATAAGGAGAGCAATGGAAGAGTTGATTAATTTCACATTGCATTTGGGTATTGGCTACATACAAGTCACAATTAAGATAACTCTTTACTGTTGTTTTTTTTTTACTGTGGGCACACTGGCCCGCATTAAAAATGAAATTATTGCCTGCTCTCAAGAGAAAGTGTGTCTACCCAAACACATACATAACACACACACACACACTTTAATCACTGTCCATTTTGATTATTTAATCACTGTCCATTTTTCATTATCCATGAATCTGTTAAATTGCTTCACTAGTTTTAACCAAAAGGGTTTCTCATCTACACAGGAAGTCAAGAGTACAAGATTTATGAAGAAATGCAACATTATAGTTTCCCTGGTTTTAACTGAGATCTCCCATAGTTTTCCTCGCTTGCTTGCTACATAATAAACAACACAATAATTCCAACTAGCTCACCTATCTGGTAACTAAACATTCAAACAAGTTAAAATTAAGGTTGTGTGGGTGTATATAATGAGTTATCAAGCTTCATCCAAGTTTCTACTTAAATCAGTTTTCTGGACTCATCCTATTCGGCACTGGGCTTAAATTATTCAGAGTTTAAATTCCAGATTTTTCTCCAACTTACCCAAATTAAGAGGCCTTGGTTGGTGTCTTGATATACTTTGGTGTCGCTTAAAATATATTTATATAGTGGTTTTCTGCTGAAGCCTTGAAACTGCTGGTTTCTGCATGTGTATATGAAGAGGGAAGAGGTTTAAATTTATTTGACTAGAAATAAAATGCTTTTCTCTCCCCAGACACTAAGATGTTCGTGAATTTCATTCAACATACATGAAGTGAGAATTTTTTCTTTCATTAATAAAAAGATAAGCAGTTACTGTTCCCACTTCCTCGCAGATTTTAAGAGGAGTCAATCTAATCAAGGAGAGAAGCAACCTGGAATTAAGGAGAAACCTCCTAACAGTGAGGACAATTAACCTGTAGAACAGCTTGCATTCAGACATTGTGGGTGCTTCATCACTGGAGGTTTTTAAGAAGAGATTGGACAGTCACTTGTCAGAAATGGTATGGAATCTCTTGCTTGAACAGAGGGCTGAACTAGAAAACTTCCAAGGTCCCTTCTAGCATGATTCTGATTCTGATGTAGTGGTTAAGATGCCAGGCTAGAAACCAGGAGGCAGTGAGTTCTAGTCCCATCTTATATATGAAAACTGGCTTTGGGCCAGTTACCCTCTCTCAACACGTCACAGGATGTTCATATACAGTTCAAAAGTGCATACTTACAAAGTTGAACACACCTTGGGATATTTCAATTAAGTTGTTTTTAATGAATTTACTAGAGATAAAATTATTCAGGAAGTTTGCAAACTGAAGGAAAAAGTGGGAAGGAGACAAAGTTTGGTTTTATTGAAACTCTTTTACAGAAAAGGGTTACATTTAAGGCTTTTTCAGAAGGATGGAAAAGATTTGATAGAGGTGAAGGTTTTCATTTAAACTTATAATATTGCAACCAAATGGAAGAGAAACAATTTATATTATTCAGGATAGGAATAAAAGCAAACTTGAAAAAGGCTCCCTCTGGTGCAAACTCAAGGAACAAACTTGGAGATTTGGCCAAGCTGGAAATGACTATCACAAATGAAAAAAGATAGTTTATAAAAAAGGTTATTGATAAGTACTTTTTAGAATGAATAAGTAAAAGATCTAGAAGAGTATTAAAATATCTGTTTGTATTAGGATTAAGTTATATGTACATGAGATACTTGAGATAATAAGTAATTCTTTAGAAGGAGGGAAGTTAACATGGAAAACAAATTAGGATAGAATTTATTAGCATTTATTTATTAATTCATTGTGTGAGTAACAATGGAATATAATTAAAAAGAGGAATATAATTAAAAAGAAAAAATCTAAGAAAAATTTAGAAATTAAAGATTCATAAGCAAACTATAAAAAAAAAGTTCCCCAAAAGCGTATAAACATCCACAAAATAAACACTTAAACAAAATTTCAATACCACTTCTAAATTGAAAGCAAAAATAAGATTTTGAACTTTATTAGAAAATAAATTTTAAAAAGATAAGTGATTTATGAAATCAATATATTTATGTTCAATTATATTACCAGTAATAGCACTTAGTATTCAAGATTTTTGAAGAAGTATATAGATAGCTCTTGATTTACAACCACAATCGAATCCAAAAATTCCATTGGTAAGCAAGGCTTTTGTTCATCCCTCATTTTATGACCTTAAGTGAATCATGTAGTTGTGAAGTGAATCTGGCTTCCCCCATTGTCAGAAGCTCCCTAGGAAGGTTGCAAATGACGATCCCAGAACACCAGGACATTGCAACCATTGTAAATATGTGCCAGTTGCCAAGCATTTGAAGCATGATCACATGAGTGTGGAGATGCTGCAATGGTCATAAGTGTGAGAACTGGCCACTTTTTTCAGTACCATTGTAACTTTGAACGACCATTAAACAAATGGTTGTAAATTGATGCATATATGTTTGAGAGTGGAGGTTCGTTCTCCGAGCTTGTGGGCTGGTTTCTGAATGTTTCCTTAGTAGGCTAGGTAACATCTTCAGCAGAATGTAGGGGATGTCGATGTTAGTGTTCTTCTGCTTATAAGGGCTTTGTGTAGTCAGTAGGTCTTGTGATGGGGGGGGGGTGTCACATCAGGTAAGTGTCATCCTATACTCAAACTACAGATATTTGCCACTATTGCAAACATCAGAGACACATTGGAGTTAACCAGTGTTATCAACACAGATATTCAATACACAGGTTCATCATTTACAGAAACAGAATAGCAGACTTCAACATTTTGAAAATTGGAAATCTGGCTTAAATGGTTTTATCAAGAATTACCATAAATGTTCAAATATATTTTAATTACACATGTTTTATGCATATGTAATTTATAACATCAAGGTAAGAATATTCCTGATTCATGACAAAAATCTAAAGTGACACATTTTAAATCCACGAAATATTGCATTGTACATTTTTGTACTAATGTCTACTTCATTATTAAAATCAAAATTATTGACTAATCATCTCAAATCTGTTATAAATAGAATTATGTATTCTGATCAGTGTAATTATATAGCAGCAGTTAAAGTGATGTTACTCCCCAAACTGCAGTTTGAACCTCCCAAAAATCAACATTTTTGATCAAAATAGAAAAGCTCAGAGGTGCAAAAGGATTAAATTAGGTTTCAATATTATTATAAATAAGGTAAAAATAAAACCAGACCCATTTTTTAGAATTAGATTCTCTAAAGTGTAGAAAATATTTAAGTATATGAAAGTAAGCAAGATGTGCTACATCAACCAAATAGGACAGTACTTTGAAAGTACAGTATTGCATGTAATAGAAAGTGGTGCTGTCCATTAGCCAGACTTAGCCATAGCACTGAGGAGCAAATATTCTTGTAAATACCAGCAAAGTTTATTTGGAAGATTGGACCTTGTCTTCTTCTCTATCCATGTTATAATATTCCGGGTTGGGACGCATATCTGTGAAGAGAGCTATGCGATTTGCCATGGCAAAAAAGGCTGAAATGGAGCCTATGTCCCAGGCATCTTCTCGATCAAATCCATGTGCCTCCAGCTTTTGGAAGTGCTCTTCCGTTATGTTATCTGCTCTACAGATAGCAAGGGCAAACTCAAGCATGGCTACTTCTCGATCATTTAGATCAGCCAGTTTCCAATTCACAGCCACCTATACAAAAGCAAAGTACAAACTTTGGGACATAATGTTTTTGGTTTAGTTTTCTTCAGTAATCTTTCCATCTTTCTTTTTAAGCTGCTATCTTTTAAAATTACAGAACATCTGAATTTAGAGCAAGTTTCTTTTTGTATAACTTGTTTCTTCTGCTTTTTTTGAACTTATTGTATATACCCTGTTTCCCCCAAAATAAAACTTTTGAGTGCATGCGCTAAAATAACCCTTCTCCTGAAAATAAGCTCTCACTGAAAGTATTTAAACGCAGAGCTGGATATCAGGTAAGATGGCAAGAAGAGCCCCATCTTGCTCCATGCCTCCCAAAATAATAAGACCTCCCCAAAAAAGGCCAAGCACTTATTTTGGGGTTCAAAAAAATATAAGACAGGATCTTATTTTGGGGAAAACACGGTAAATACAAGGAATCCACTCACACCTTAGTCACTTCCTGGCTAGATTTCTCCAATGAGATCTATGTGAGGCTGCTCTTGAAGTCTATTTGAAACCTGTAACAGGTCCAGACTGCAGCAAGTGGGTAATATTGGGCATAATTCTACACTCACGTAGCATAATTTCACAAGCTGTACTGGCTTCCAATAGGCTTCTGGATGCAATTCAAGTTATCACCTATAAAGCCCTACATCAGAGGTCTCCAACTTTGGCAACTTTAAGACTCATGGACTTCAACTAGAATTCCTCAGCCAGCCATGTTGGCTGAGGAATTCTGGGAGTTGGAGTCCACAAGTATGAAAGTTGCCAAGGTTGGAGACCCTGCCCTACATGACGCAAGACTGGATTATTAGCAGGACTGCATGATTATTTCTGCCTGTCCTACTAGATTACACAGGGTAAGCATGCTACAGGTCTTGTTTCTGGGGCTGTGAAGTTATCTTCTCTGCTGCTCTGTCTGTCTCTGGATAGTTGGCAGCCCTGATCCTATTAGCCTTTCCTAGAACAATGAAGATGTGGCTCTTCTCCTGGGCACTGAGCTTTAATGTTGACTGACCCACTTTCCTGCTAGGAGAGTGAATGTTTGTTATGCCAACCTCAGTTACATGCATCTATATGACTGTGGTTCGTTATCTTGGTTTTATCTTGTTTTTATTCATTTTTGGTGCTCTGCTTTATATTGATGTACACGTCTAAGAGTTATACATTATGTGTTGAGCAGGCAATTCATGCATACATACTGAAACTGTCTGCTGCACAGTCTTTATGGATTTGGACAGCTTACAAACAAAGCAAGCAAGCAAGCAAACCCATTTTTTATTCATGTCTTCTAATTTTACAGATCTTTTCATACAACTATCGTGTTTCCCCGAAAATAAGACCCTGTCTTATATTTTTTTGAACCCTGAAATAAGGGCTTGACCTTATTGCCATATGCTCAAAAGCCCGATTGGGCTTATTATCAGAGGATGTCTTATTTTGGGGAAAACGGGGTAGATCATAATAAGGGAAAAGAATATGCTTTCAAGAGACAAACAGGACAGATATGAGGACTGACCTGATCTGCTAAAGTTGGTTTCTTGGAGTACTTCCGATGTGAGGCACTATGTACAGTTACACAGTAGGGAGTGTGGTTTACAATACTCACAACCACAGCAATGAGCTCTTTGTCAGCCATACTTAGCTTTCCTGGAGAGGAAGAGAGTTGTGAAAGGTGAGTAGTCTCAGGGCAGATTCACCAAAGCACAAGTTGATGTTGTGTATGAATGTTACCCTCCCCTAATACCATATAATTATACAAGATCAGCTTTTTAAAAATGTTTATGTTTTATTATGCCAGTAGGAGCAAAAATAAGAAATTTTTTAATAATTATATACTATGTGCCCTCTTCTGGGATATATTCTTTAAATGCTGAAAGAAGCCTCACTTGCCACAAAGTGTACTGTACAAATACACATTACAGAGTCAAAGCCATAACAAGATTCACTCATTTCCCAGAAATCATAAGTCAATGTGAACAGTCATTATCAACAGACATCTTAAGTCAAGTATAATCAAACAAGAATAGAACTGCATTCTCAGCATTAGACAAATGACCAAATCTTAAGCAAAATCAATCATTGTTTGGGGTTTTTTTAAGAGGAAGAAGGCAACAATAGTTATGCATAGGTTGAGCACTTATCTGACATTCTCCCTGACAGTCAGGGAGAGACATGCCTTTTATACAGGAATAAGATGATGTATGATCTCTGCTGCAACCACTTCTACTGCCAGAGATAACCAGTTTCACATCTAAGTTATAGCCTTTATGGTGAAAAGTGCCATGCTCTAGTGACATGTATCGGGAATTTTAATTAAATCCTCTCTGAGCTTCACAATAGTCTCAAATAGGCCATCAGCAGTCTTATTAGGTTCTAGCATTCACATAAAGAACATGGGAAACTGCATTCAGTAATTCAGAACTAACTCCCTACTGTATGTGAAGTATCCTAGGAAGCTAATTGCTTTTGTATTAGATTCCTACTGCATTCTCTTAAGATTATTTTAAAGCTTTCGGATATCACAGTAGTTGAATAGTCTCTGTTGGCTCAAACCTTCTTTACTTCAATGGTTCTTAAAGTACACCTGTATTCTTAGGAACACAACTGGAATGCAATGTAGTGCAATTGGTTTAGAAAAATATCTTCAAAGCATCCATGTTTGACTGCTACTCATACCTGTTTTCTTGTGCATGACGACATCGTGATAGGCAAAGAATACCCTAAATTCTTCTGGTCGATTAGCCATCACTTTAAACACATTGGGCAAAAACCCATTCTGAGAATCAAGGAGGCGGAAATAGTCAGACACCTTAAAATCACATTCAAGACTATTCAGGGAAATATTCAGAAGTCCAGAATTATTCTCCCCATTTAGTATCAAGACATTCTAGAGGGGCTAGTATTTCTTGAACCATAATGTTCTCAGATTTGTTGCTGGTTTCTCTGATAGCACGCCTCTAAAAAACAGCAGGGTGAGTTTTCATTTTAAGACAGCTACCTCCCAAGCCATTGAAGGAAGACAACCAACAACTTAGCTGGTGCTAAAAACATTCCCTCCTAATTGTTCTTGATTCTCAACTTGCACACACAATGATTAATTGAGGAACAGGTCCAAGAGAGAGAAATCAGATGTGGATCCTGCATTCTAGCAGACACTAAATAACTGAATGGAATTCTTGGGTCCTGAGAATATTTGCAAAATCTTTGAAACAATGTGCTGAGGTTCAAATATAAGGGTACTGTTGACTGATCTCAATTCTCTCCTAGCAAAAGAAGGACTTGAGCTTTACAACTGTTTTTTTAAGCATAAAAAAAACAAATTCTCAGTGGAAGGATGTAAAGGATTGGGCCGCAGGTAAATGGAAAGCAAATGCCAGCTAAATAATATTGGGCTATGTGGACAAATAAGCTGATCTGTTTTAAGGCAGTTTTTAATAAATTCTAACATATTGCTTCAAAACAATAAGCCTGAAAAATGAAGCTCAACAGGTGCTCCTTCACCTTGGGAGTTTTCTGTTACCAGATGTTGAGATTTATAGAGGGTTTCTGAAGATACAGGACTGATGTGCTTCTTCTGGCTTGATGGCATGATGGGGCTATAATATTAGTGTGAATAACAAATAAATAGCACCTGATGAAGCCTTCATTGTCATTTTCCTTTTCTACTATGCTATGAAAGGTACCAGCTAGCTTGGAAGAGCAGAAAAGGGCTAAACAAAAGTGTTTTATTTCTGATCCTGTTTCTCATCTAATCGCAACCCGATTGTTGCATCTATTTTAAACCCCAGTATGTAACTTAACTGAATAAGAAACATGTATTAGATAGCATATCAAATCTTCTTTAATCATCATTAGGTTCACATGTAGAGTTAGAAACCAGCTGTCCAACAAAGCAACTCCTAATGTCTCTTTAATCTGATAATGATCAAACTCTAATCAAGTGTATAGGAACAGCACTTATGTTGAAGGTTGATAGATACAAGCTTCTATGAACTGATTTTTTCCAACTGATTTCTTTTACCGTTGCTTCTGCTTCCTCCAGGTGTTCTATTATATCATGTGGTAGGTCTTTCTTATTGGGCATTGGATACCGCTCAGTTGGCTTGGTGTTGTCTCCTTTTGTGTGGTATGCATGATTCAAGGTTACACTTCGGTGTTTCCCCCCAAATCTCTCAGGCATGGTTCGTGGCAGAAGCTATAATACAAAAATATATAAAACAGTATTTCATTTAATGAAGTACATATGGCATATAGTTCATCAGTGCTCCCCAAATTTAGTGAAATTAGAACTGCATCATTTATTGCCTGAAACTCTTTAATAGGCCTGTATAATTAGCACTGCTGCAGGAAATGTTTATAGTTACCCACACTACCTTGTTCAATGGGATGAATTCTCGCCAATGACAAATTTGCTTGAAGAACTGGGGGAAATAAATTATAGAACATTTGCTAACTTTGAATCACTTATAAAAGAGGCAGAAAGCAGACTCAACTCACCCCAACCTGTCAGTAAAGTTCTTTTTTTCCCAGGATGATTTCATAGACTTTAAATAGGTTTTACTGTCTGTTGTGCAATGTTATCTAGACACTGTATATCAGGACTTAAGAGAGTCAAGAGTTTGTTGGATTTAAAGTGGATTATTAGAATTACTTGCCTCCAACTTCTTTGGAGCGAAGCAAAGATGAATGAATGCACAGATTTAGAGAACTGCAACTACAGTTACTCACCACTTAATGACCATTCTAAATTGCAACAGAGCTGAACAAATGGTAGTTATGACTGGTTGTTGAAGTTACCACCGTTGCAGTGCTCCTGTCATCAAATTTGGGCACTTGGCAGACCAGCCATTTTTTAATTATTTATTGCTTTTAAAATGGTGACACCTGACCCTCCCCCAAAGATAAAAAAAATACACAGGCAAAGAAAAAAATAAAAAGTGCTTTTTTTTAAACAGTGAAAAAAATACCTCAGGAAAAAAAAATTTTTAGCAGTAGGTAGTGATCTGGTAGTGAGTTATTGCATAAGAGCTGTACCTGCTTTTTGGCAATGAAGCTGATATTTGTGATATTAGGCTAACAAACATTGAAGATTCCTTTTATGTCAAATGAAAAAGAGAAATGGTAGACTATGGATCAGAATGAAAGCTGCAGTGAACATAATTCAGGCACACACAAAAATTAGTGACCAAATCTTTCCTGTTAAAAGGTTAAATCGGTGGAATCTCAGCTATGCAAACTCTCTTAACTAAAATTGTCCCTGTAGCCTTCCCCATTCCTCACCCTCTTAATATAATGTAAAGTATCCAACCCTCAGATTATATGGATACATTCTGATCATAGCCCTGAATCTGCAAACGGGTATATTCAGAAGGTATCACTACATTTAAGTGGTGCAATTTTGCAGTGTTAAATTGCATACTTTATTGAATTGTATATTTAAATTCACACAAAAAACTATATTTAATTTTTTTTTTTGAGTTTTGGCCTCAATGAGTTTTCACATATATTTTTTATCAGTGTGCAGGCACTTTTAATTATCTGCTGTGGCAATTTTAATAACTTCCCTGGAGACCCTCACTCAAATTCAACTTTTCCAAAGAAAAAATGTTATTGGGAAATGTTAGCCAGAGTCACACCTACAGTATTTGCAATATGGAGTCACCTCTTGCAACATTCAGTTTCCCAATGAACAGTTCACCCAGTTGCAATAATAATCTGTTTCTTAACATAATTATGTTCTGAATTTTGCCCCAGGTATTCTGAATGGCCTCTCTTCATGAAGACATCACCTGGGGCAATTCAAGACCTCTTTCTCAAACTGAAGCTAACAGGGAAAACCCCCAGCTGCCAGCCCCTAACAGCCTCATTGCCCCTCATCTCTGAGAGTCTGGGGTGGCCTGTGGACCTTAACTCAATATTAGAAGACAGTGGTGTCTACCTGTGGCCATTTTAATTCTCAGCCAAAAGCATCCATCCCAAGAAAGAGTTATGGTAATCTCCCCAGCTCCCATTTGTTTGCCATTCCCATCCTAGACTCCTTTTCTGAATCACAGTTGGGTAATTCTCCAACTCAAAATAGGTTTTCTCCCAAGCTCAATTTTGTACCCGCTGCCCTTTACAACATAGTTTGACCCTTTAGAGAGGAGTTTCTCAACCTCAGCGACTTTAAAGATGTGTGGACTTCAACTCCCAGAATTCCTCAGTCCCTGGGGAATTCTGGGAGTTGAAGTCCCCTCATCTTAAAAGTGGACAAGGTTGAGAAACGCTGCCTTGGAAAAAGAATCCAAGTTGCAAAAGAGATGTTTTCTTCTGCCTCGAAAGATTTTCCCCAAAGATTGCACCGCATATCTGGAAGGGAGTTTGGGAAGAGAGTATAAGAGAACTGGAGCAAACGGGACATTTGGGGAAAAATTCTCGCTCGACAAGGAAACCTAACTGGAGATGATCAAGTCCTGAGAAGTGGCTAAATGGAGGGTAACACTCACCGAAACAGATCCTCGAGGCCAGAGCTGCAGGAGGCTGCTGAGAAGCGGCTTCATTCTGGTGTTTCCCAAAGAAAGAGCAACAATAGAAGTTTGGGGCTTCCAGGCTTCTACCGTAGTCTCGGATCGGAAGAAACTGCGTCTTCCAATCTGCCCCCTTTTCTAACCTTGGGGGGGGGGGGAGAATCACCAGGAGCAAATCAATTGCACCAGAAAGGGGGAAGTTGCAGGCTTGTAACCAATGGCAGGAAAAGACCAGAGGGAGAGTTATGCAACGGATAGAAATCGGAGCAAGGCTCTCACTTTTCCAGTTTCGCTTGATAATGGGATTGTTCTCTTGTAAGTGATACTAGGATTTCAGAAAGCGGCTTTCAGATCAATAGCCACGTTGCTGTTTTCCCATTTTTTCCTTTAGAACGCATTTTAAATTATTTTCCAAAATCGTTTTAGGTGAGCTTCTAGGTGCGTGCGCCTGTGTGGTTTTTTTCTTTCTTTCCAAGAGGATATCCATTAAAGAAAAAAAAAATCTAGATTTATTATGGGTGCATCATGTGTTTTGATAGGTAGTAGCAGATTTAGACGTTTTATGTGAGGTAAAGACAGAGACAACGTGGGGAGTTACAAATGGAAGGTAATGATAATCTAGATCTGTAAGGAAGCACAAAACCTCTGGAAAGAGTCGGGCTATCCTAATCTATGGTTTACCAGTATGCAGGTGGCAATTTGTCAGATTAGGCTTCAATGTGTTTTCTTAGAGGAGAGACCTAGCATATTATGTGAACGCTGCAATTGTGTGAATCTTTATTCAACCCGAGTTTAAAGTTCAGGGAGTTATATGCACTCAGAATGTGTGGTTAATATATTTCTGCTCCTCCCTTTGTAGGATATAGGTATTTAACATAAGCATGGTTGATGCATACTATCAAATCGCTGATAGACCGCCTGATTTCTAATTACCGAGCGACTTATTATTAAACATTAGGAAAAAAAAGATAAAAAGAAATCAAGACTGGCCCGATAAAACCATAAACTTGAAAACAGGCTTCAGAATTGAAAAGAGTATTTTTGCTTTCCATGAAGAAATCTAAACGGATGGCCAGCGAATCAAATCTAAACTCCTCCTCAGTCGTCTCCAAATCAAAGCAACGCACGTTCCCATCCGCCCAATCTTGAATCAGACAATCCTGTCCCTTCGCCCATTGTGAAAACTACAATTCCCAGAATGCAGCTGGTTCCCGGTAGAGGGAAGTCTCATTGGATGATGCCTTATAGATAGGTGAAGGAAATAACCTTAGCGTGGGACTAATTTTTCCTAATGAATCAAAAGTGTCCGGAAGAGTAAAAGAAAGGCTGATTGAGAAATTGCTACTTAAAGGGAGGTGAGTAACAGACGTTTGGTCTGAACAATAATTCATGACTCTTAAACTACTTAAGCGTTTTGACTGTTGGGTATTCATAAAAGTTACCTGTAAAGCACATTTTGTTTTATTTTTTTTTCTGGACCCCGCACTGATTGTATTTGTGCAATGTTACTTAAGAAGTTGTAAGTAGAATAGATGCCTTTAAGACCTTATATGGCAGGAGGAATTGCATGCTTCTGAAATTCTTACACAACGGACAACGTTTGAATACCGGTGAGGCTCCTTTCAGGTATCTGGAATTGGCAAGGCATAATTTTTCCCTTTCCGTGCTATTAATCAGCACCCCTTAAAACTGGTTCACACCTTTTTCCATTTTCTGAATAAAGGATGAATACACAGAGTGAGTTATGCTCTTCTTGTTTCAATGTTAGACTTCTATAACTTGCTTACTTAGGGCTCTTTTGAAAAGTAGCCAGAATCTGTAATCAGTACAGAATAAAACTATCCTGCTTTACTAGTAGGATGAGAGCAGTTTCAGTTCTGTCAATTGAATTCTATGGCCCAGCATTTAATGTCATTTTTTTCCCCTATGTTTTCACAGCAGTTTGGACAAAAAACAACAATGACTAATCCTGAGAAGAAAGTAGAGAAAAATATCTGTGGAGATCATTGTGATCAACAGCAAAACTATGGAGATGGACATGGGGAAGATCTCTGGGATGCATTTGAGCTTCTGGAAATTGATGGGAATGATGAAAGATCCAGTGAACAGGTTACAGGAAATGAGAATTGGTGTTCGGTATGTAAAGTGTCATTCATGTCAAAAGCAAATTGGGGCAATTTTAATGTTGTTTCATGTTGTGAATCTCAGTGTTTCACAGGGATCATATTTTACATTGAAGAAGGGCCTGAAAGTCTTGTAACAATGGCTTTGTTTAAAGGCATACCTGTGGATATGTAAGGTAGATACTTATACATTGTGGCCTTCCTTCCTTCCCAGTTTGTAGGCAGCAACAAAGGTTTTGTTTACTTCCCTTTTCCTTTAACTTGCATATTTTGAAATAGCTCATTGTTGCTCTTTAGCTAAAAGATATCAATACAAAGAAAATGGGAAATTACCATAATATAAAACACATTCAAACAAGAATCAAAACAGATTTCCTGTAAAATGTCTGGGACAATGGAAATTTTTTAAGCTGGTGCCAAAAAGTTGTCATGTTGAAATCAGCTGAGCCTTTCTCTGTACCAGTGGCCTAAAGATCCTTTAATAATAATAATAACTGGATGACCACTTGAACACCATCAGCAGTGACTAAATCACTGCAGGTCAATTGCAAAAGGCAGCTTTATTTAAAACAGTTTACCTCCTGTGATGATACCTTTAACACCCTCAGGCAAGGAAGACTCAAAAGATGTATTTAAAAAATCTAGTCTAAACGTCTGGCTGACTGTGACCATCATCATCATCATCATAAGCAGGTCCTTGAGAAGAACGAAATTGAGGGATAAAAATGCCAAATCCAATCTAAACATCTGGATGACTGTCAAGCCAACCATATTAATAAAAATGTTGCTACAAAAATACTTCTACAGAAGATATTTCCTGGATTTCCACAAAGATCTTTTATGCATTTAGAAAGGCAAGCAGTGTGCCAAAATGCCATTTACACTTAACATCTGCTATTGACTGAAAGCACTGAATAAATAATTTTTAGAGGCAGAAGAAATATTAACTCATAAATATTCTGCCACTCTTTAGTGGTTATCTGGGAAAAATACAGCACATGCTTATGTATTCCTTTCTATTTGTGTAAAATAGCTGCAATTTGTAATAGTTTCTGTGTGTGAGAGGTAGAAAATGAAAGGATAAATAGCTACTGTGTACACTTTTATTAGATGAACATATGCAAGATTTGGGAAATTTAAACCATGGAACATATTCACATACATCCAAACATATACATCTCTAACATCCAGTTCTGATAAGAAAATCTTTGCAAATGGTTTCTTTTCCTCCCTTAAGTGTGTCTGTTTATTTTTCTTTATATTAAGAGGAATGTTCTAAGGAAACAACGGCACTGGGAGAAGATTGTTTCTGCAAAGAAGGATAAAAGAAAATGTGAAAGAGAACGACGTAAAGCGAAGCACGCTGAACAAAAAGGTACAAGAAACACAGTATAATTTCTGTCTCCATCTTTGGTGGAAAATAGTTTGCTCTCTGTACTTGGAAGCTTCAAAGGAACTTAACTTAGGTTTTCTGTGAGAACCATAATGGCGGTCGGGTTTTCTGAAAGAGGTTTCCCTACTACAGCTAGTATTTTGTATTGTTCACATGGAAGGAAGTGTAGGGCAGGCTGGGCAACATTTTATTTTTGGAGAGATTTTGATTTATAGGCACTGAAGTGCCTTTCAAAGAAGTTATTGCTACCCTGCAAAATCATGGCTTATGCCTCACCTGTATGCTTAATGTCGTTCAGTAGTGATGATTTTTTCTCTTTTATCTATTTCAGGCACTGCTCCTCAACTTAGTAAGCGAGATCTAAAAGCCATTGCAAAAGATCGTCTTCTAGAGGCCAAGGCAACAGGTCCTCGGCTGTGTATTGATATGAGCTTGACCGGTCACATGACTAAGAAGGTAGCTTTATATTATTTGCTCTTTTTAAAAAACATGGAATTTGATTTTCAGGACTGGTGAGTGTGCCTCTGCTCTTGAGTACTTATTTTGCAATACTTTGAAGAGGTTGCATTCAGTAGTATTATTTGATATATTAACTGAAGAATTGTACTCCATAAAAATTAGAAATTTGGACATGAACATTTGATTTTTCCTCATGAAAACAATAGAAAGCTTCCTGCACATTTAAACCCAAAGTGGAATGTAAGTTGTTAGTTCTGTAAGTTCTATAAGTTCGTTCTATAGGTTAGTTCTGTAAGTGCAGGAAACACAACCTCTGCAGCATCCATGGGGAAAGGAAATGGTTGGATGAAGGAGTCATATTCTGTGAGAGATTTTATATCTTGCTTGTAGTTATATGACTAAGTTCTCTTGAATTGAGGAAACATTGAGATTGGCAGGATTTGTAGCATATTTTTTAAGATTTACCTCTTGGATTAGATATACTGGAAGTGGAATGGAGAGGGCTTTAGGGCCACTGAAAGGCAATAGATGGAAGGAGTGCTCTTTATTAAATTTGATGACAATGTTGCAAGATCAAAATGTGTATTACAATCACATATGGCAGAGCATGAGATCCAGTGTTTTGAGATGCTCATAAGCAGGGGTTTGGGGTTTTTTTTTTTGTTCCTTTGAGTTAGTTTTGACTCCTGGCGACTGCCTTGACAAGTGTCTGCAGTTTTCTTGGCAAGGTTTCAGAAATGTTTTGTCCTTGCCTGCTTCTTAGAGCTGAGAGAAAGTAACTGGTCCAAGATCACACAGCTAGTTTTGTGCCCAAGGTGGGGCTAGATAGAACTTAGAGTCTCCTGGTTTGTTGCTCAGTACCTTAAACAGTATGCCAAATTGGCTCTCTAAACAGCTATTGCTCAGGAGGAAATTTAGAGCAGTTACATCAGCCTGAAATAAAACTGCAGTTCTTGGATTCATATACTTCATGATGTCCCTCCTTAGCTCTTGTTTGCCCTCAAGTTATTAAATATGTTAATATAAGTTGGCCTGTGGAAACTTAACAATTAAAGACGTAAATGTGATGAGCTACATTTCCAAATTCTCATATAGAATTTGATACTTTATGGAGAACACAGAGTCCTTGGCAGAGAATTACTCAGTGGTGGGATTCAATTGTTTTTACTACAGGTTCTGTGGGTGTGGCTTGGTGGGCATGGCATTGCTTGGTGGGTGTGGTTTGGTGGGCATGGCAGGGGAAGGATACTGTAAAATCTCCATTCCCTCCCACTCCAGGGGAAGGTTACTGCAAAATCCCTATTTCCTCCTGATCAACTGGGACTCGGGAGGCAGAGAATAGATGGGGGCGGGGCCAGTCAGAGGTAGTATTTACCAGTTCTCTGAACCACCTCTGGAATTACTGTACCTTATTAGAAATACGGGCTTAGTCCTGCTGTTAAATAATGAGTTCCAGACACATGTTCCCAATATGAGTATCTAGAGCAAAAAAACAAACAAAAACCCACAGAGACTTTTCCTTCTTCTTCAAAGGAAATAAGTCGTCTTGCTGCACAGATTAGGCGGCTTTATGGGTCTAACAAGAAAGCTCAGAAGCCCTTTTGGCTCCACCTCACAGGAATTGTGAAAAACAGTCCTATTTATGAAGCATGCTTGAGAATGAATGATGGATTTGCCAATTATCTGGTAAGTATATCCCCCCTCTTTCCCTCTGCTTTAGCTTTCTCCAAGTGACGACACTGAAGGAAAATAGTTTCTTCCTCAAGTTGCTCTTATCAATAGAAGGCAAAACGCATAGAATTGGTAGCTTTGCCTTCCTTTCCCATAATATTCTCTGTATAGTTAACTTGGTACCTTCTAGAGTTGCAGTCCCAACATTACTAGGCACAGAATAGTTGCTTTTAAGAAGTCCTGTAGTTTAATATCTTCAATAGTGTTGTGAAATATTATTAGGCTTAAATTGGGCTAAAATGCTGTTTTGATTCAAATGTGTTTTTCAGTAGAATAGTAATGGAGTCAGCGTGGCATGTTTTTCCAAAATTGCACTCTCATTCCTGCACAAGTGGCCTCTCTAAAAGGATTTTTTGAAATTCCATTTATGTATGTTGCATTCTTTTTCAGATGGATGTTACCGCAGAAAGTTATCTTGATCTATTTCCTTTGGATGTGATTGTATATCTCACACCAGATTCTGATAATGGTATATTACAGCCTTGGGACTGTTTAAAATGTGTTGTTCTTATTTTAAAATGAGTAATAATTGGATTTGGGGTTTCTTAATGTATGTTCCAAATCAGCTTAAACTTGTTTCCACTTATTTTACATCCTCCTCATGAACTGTCAGCTGATGCCATATATTGCCCCAGCTGGGACAAGCAGCCTTATATGCCACACTAAGCAACAATTATATGAACTCATCCTTAGTAAGAATAGCAGTAAGTAGGGTAACTATAACCCAACCTAATCCAGGCTTGTGGTGCTTGCTGATGCACTTCCTCTTTCTCTAAATACTATGGCTAGGAACCAAAAATTAATCTGTCTTGATTGGTGGGGTGAGGATTCTCAATTGAAGGTTTTTGCAGCACTGCTGAAATAATGCAACACTGGACTCTTACTAAGACTTAAAAATTAACATTAAATAACATAAAAGGAACCATAAAAAAAGATAAAAAGTACTATAAAATGAATTTTAAGTAAAATCTATATCTAGGTATTCAGTCCGTACAGTAATGCAGTAAACAAACCATATAGTTATAAACTATATTTTAAAATCTAATAATCTAAATTGTTACTAAATTGAAATTCATTTATACATTTCCAAAGATTAATGGAGCCAGTATCATCATATTGCTCATATAGATCAGAAGTCAGCTGTTTGTCCAGCTTCTGTGTAAAACTTTGTTATATTATTTATAGTAAGGCTTTTATTATCTAATAGAAGGGAAATAATATAAGATTGTTCAGACTGATCTTGGGCATGTAACAACAAAGGAAAATGGAATCTTCTTGTTAGCATGAATGTATGGATGGATTTATTGCCCACAAGGGCAAGTCTGATTTGCTATAGGAACTTTTATTAACTCTCCCATATAAAAATGCTAAAGGCCAACTATTGACCTTGCTCTGAAGAAAAGCCCTTGTTGAAATGGGGAAGATGGTGAGTCGGCATAATTAGCTGACATCCATCTAGGGTGGTTAAACTGTAATGGGATAAATTTTGAATGAGGCCTCTCTCATTCTACTATTCGCTGTCTAAGAGCCTTTCTTTGATAACTCTCAGCTACTATAAATTTGAGGAAATTCGGAAATTGAGAAATGTTCTAAAAATCACTAGAATCTAAAACAACTGGAATTTATTGGCTAAAAGTAATGGGATCAAAAATGAATAATAAAGCTATTTCCTCATGTGGCCACTTTTAGCCTTAGAATTGCATTGAATGTACATTTTAGAGCTTGAAGCATTGCTGTAATAGACTTAGTTTGTACTATTTCCTCAAAAATCAGCCTATACCAGTAATTTGGGTAAGAATGGAATGGAGATCTATAAGCAACTGAGCCAAGCATTGGTCAGTGAATAGCTCTAGAGCTGTAAAGATGAGTTCTCTTCTGTGAAAAAAAAAATTAGAAGAGTTGTAGAATCTCTGAGAGGCCAGAAGAATACAGAAGAATACAGATTTGATATCTGTATCCCATGATCCTGAGTCTTGAAGGACTACACTAGGATATTTAAAACTCCTCACTTGCTTGTCTGTTACCCAGTGAAGCTTCCTAAATGTTTTAGGAAAGATCATTTTAGATAGTTTTTGACTTAAAAGCATAATTGAGCCTAGAATTAAGGCTATATGTCATGATGGTCATTAAATGAACACTGTGGTGGTTAAGAGAACCCATTATACCCAGTGGGCATTTTTGCTGGAAACGGAAAGTAAACACTAGTTTCCAGCGAAAAATATTGCAAGTTGCGATCACGTGACCATGGGACACTGCAAACGTTGCCAGTTGCCAAATTTGATCATGTGATCTGCGTGGGGTAGGAGGCTGTCAAAACCAGGTTGTAAGTAACTCGAGGTCCGTTGTAATTTCTAACAGTCACTCAACAACCAGTTTTAAGTCGAGAACTTGCTTGTACTTTAGTCTTCTGGAAATATATCCCAAGGTGATTTTCCTTGCAGTAATGCACAAAATTATTAAGTGAGCATCTGAGGCTATTCGAAACTCTTGAAATGATCATCTCCATTAAAAAAGAGTGGGGAATTCATATCTGTTACTCTAGACCAGGGGTCGCCAACCTTTTGGACCTCAGGGACCACAAAATTCATAATTTTAAATCCCGTGGACTACTAATATGATTTTTTTAAAAAGCTAAATAGTGCAGTATAAAAAAATGCAAATTTTTCTGCGGACCACCAAAATTTTCTCGTGGACCACCAGTGGTCCGCGGATCAATGGTTGGTGACCACTGCTTTAGAAGGCTGAAAGTTTGGATCCGAAAATTTCTTTGCCTATGAATTCATGTATAAGTTGAACAAGGAGGGAGCTAAGTTTATAGACCTTGCGAGTAACATCAAGTTCCTAATTCTAGAATATTTATGAAACTCCTGGATTAGGAAGAATAACTGTATCTAAAATACCAAGCCTTTCCTATTGAGGAAATCTAAAAATTGAATTAAATGTTGATTTAAAATCACTAAAGGCTGCCTAAACAGAAGCTACAGAACTTCTACTGCAAGGATTCCTCAACCTCCAGGCGACGGCCCACTACCTGAAACTGGGTGGCAGCAAGCACATGGCGCAAAACTCCACTCGCACAAGCGGTGGGCCTTTGTGCTCACAAGCGGAGTGCTCTTGAGCAAAGGGTACTTGTGTTCATGTGCAAAGCTCTACTCATGTGAGTGGAGGAGTCTTGCGTACGAAGCTCCATTCACCTGAATGGAGCTTTGCACGCAAGCGGTCTCTGCTCACACGAGTGGAGCTTTGCGTGCAAGCACAAGCACCCTCCGCTCACGTGTGAAGCTCCATTTGCTTGAGTGGAGGGCATGCGCGCCCGCCTCTCCCACCAATGGAGCCATGCATGCTTGCATGCACCTGCCGCTCACATGCCTCCCCCCGCCAGGCCAGGCAGCCAAGGTGGAAAAGTTGGGAACCGCTGTTCTAGTGTATTTTTCAAAAAGATAATAAAATAATATAGACTAGCATGGAATATATAGTAACCTTTAGAACAAAAATAGAGCTAATTACTAGCAATAATTAGGGTATATCTCAAAATAGAAAAATCTATAATATTAAGCAGATGGTAGTTTAGTTTAATGCAATTTAAGCCAGAAATACTCTTACTGGAGATATGAGAAAATGAGTGTAAATGGTATCTATAAATAACATTGTTCCCTTCATTTCCAGTACTCAAGTACCAGCACTTAATGTTTTATTTAGCCAAAATAACATCAGCAGCTAAACACAAGCTTGCTGAGAGCAAGCTTTGGAAAACAGCAAAGTTTGCAGACAGATAAAACATAATTAAGAATAATTTTTTTAATGAGGAAGGAAAATTCTTCAAAAGAGTCCAGTGAGTAAGCTCATTGGAGCTGGGAAGGAGAAAAAAAACCCCTTCACAAAGCAGGCAAGGAGAAATTGGGGTCAGATAGAAACCATAATTATTACACGTCTTCTGTATTATATAGTGTGTAGATTTTGTTAGGCAGAATTTAAAAAAATTGAATGAGCACACCCAGACATTTTGTTTTGAACCAAAGCAGTGGCTTGACACTTTTGGCAGCAGTTCTATTTCAGTCTTCCTGATTTTAGTCATTTTTTTAAGACCGCTACGCAATTCAGAGAATTAAGGTAGAATAATATATTATTCAATGATCCTGTTCTCACTGCATGCTTAACTGGCTCAGGGAGAGAGTTAATGTAGCAACACAGAGAAGAATCAATTACCCTGCCCCTCTCCCCTAGAGTTAAATTTGCCTCAGAATGGACCCAACTAATTCCACCAAGTCAGCTGTATTATAGAACATCCCATTTTGACCAGTAGTGGGTTTCAAATCCCGGAGCTATTGGTTCGTTATCCACCATTGATTTTGACCCATTTTGTGTAAGTATTCAAGGAAAAGAGAATTTGACATAAAGAGTGGTAGAAGCCTCTCCATTACAAAATTGCCTACTAAGTTTAGCTGTACAATATAGAACATTTGGCTTGTCTGGGCTACATTGAGTGAAGAGGAATTGTCCTGGGACGCATATAAAATATTTACAATATAGCTAATGTACAGTATATAAATCACATAATAATATTAAAAGGTTATAATCTTGGGGGGCTGCATGATCAGCTATCCAAAGCTGCTTGGGCTGCTGGTTGGACATGCCTACTCTAGAACAAAGCTCCCACATTCTGATTGGATGAAAAAGGAAATGGAAAAAGGGTTAGTAGTGTCATGGAACCTTATTGGAATAGTAATAGGGCAGATGCTGTAGGAGATGACCAGGCTGAGCTTGAGGGAGGGGTCAAACGCATCATTAGTCAGGAGTCCCTTCATGCCCACAAGACATTTTAGGCCAGTCCACCTTGAATTCCTTTCTATTTTTAATTCCTAATTTCCTTTGACCGTTGGTAGTTCAGATTCTTGTAGAGAACTTGATCTTACAATAAATCTTTATACACATTTGAACTGCCTGGATCTCCCAAAATCTCTGATGCTTGACAGATGCAATATATGGCATTTCTTGGAGAAAGTGGACAGAGATTCTAAATTCCCCAAGTTCTGATTATTATTTTTTTAGCTAGTTAGTAGGACTGTGTGCTGCCAAAGCCACCAGTGACAGAATAGTTAGTATCTAATTGAGTTAAATGTGTTATGAGAAGAGACTAATGAAATTTTCACCCAAACTCTCAACATGCATTTTTTTTAAAAAACCAACCTATTGTTCTTCTCCACCTCCTGGCATATGATTAGGTAATTAGAAACATAAACGAAACTTAAAACACATTACACCCAGGTAGCAAACATATTCCCTGCAATAATCCCCTAAAATGAGGTTCACCTAGCTTCTTGGCCCAGTGCCCCAGAAGAAAACTAAGCTTTTACTGGCCATTGGGATTCAGGCAGCCTGAATTTTGGGATAAGGAGGGGTAAATTGTTCCACAGGCAGACACAGCAACAGAAGTTAAGCCTCCTAGATACCAGTAGATGTTATTGTTTAATTGCATGAACTCAAAACATGCCTACCGGTCAGATCTCATGGAATTGGCAGAAATAAGTATAGATAGGCAATCTTGCAAGTAGTCCAGTCTTGTACTATGAAGATCTTGTAGGTGACCAACTGCACTAAGAAACATACTGGGACCAATGCAACTCAAAGTAGTGGTGTTAAAAGAGCCTACCAAGGAGATGATGTTACATGAGTTTAGTGCACCTGCATTCTGAACCAGTTGCAGTTTTTGAATGACTTTCAAAAGTTGCCCCATGTAGAGGGACAATGTATGTTTTGAATGCTCCCCATTCATAATAATAGTGTTATACCTTTACTGCCAGTTTTGATGTTCTCTGTATTTCTTTGCCTTTATTACTGGCTCTTGCTAGAGATGTTATGGATAGGCAAAACATAACATGATTATGAAGATGGTACCGAGGATGATATAATACAGTCTGTCTTTATTACTAGATGTTTATTTATTTGTGTTCTTCTCATTTTAGTTCTTGAGGAAGTTGATCCACAAAAAGTACATATTTTGGGAGGGCTGGTGGATGAAAGCATTCAAAAAGTAAGTATATTGAACATATTATATTCTTACAGAAATAGCTGGGTAGTATTTTAGTGGTGAACTGCAGGAACTTACCTCTTCACAAATTTAATTTTCCTGTGAACAATTAGCTAACATCATTAAGATAGAGCTTCTGGATTTGGAGGATTGGCATCATGAGCTTTTTAAAGAATCTAATAGCCAGATGTAATTCTTTTAAAAAAGCTGGCATAAAGAATCATTTCCTCCCTTCCTCTTTTTAGTATATATAATTTGTTTTTGTAGAAACTCACTTTCCAAATTGCCCAGGAAAGACATCTGCAGACAGCAAGATTGCCTATTCAAGAGTACATGGTAAAAAACATCAATGCAAAAAATTACCACTCTACAACCTTAGCAATCAACCAAGGTAAGTAATGCACACACCTGTTGATAGAATTTACGGCCATCTATTTGCAGGCATGGTATTACCACCAGCTTTCTTATACAATTTATAGCTGGAATTATCATAGCTGTTGCAAATTAACTTCTGATAACTTGCATGGATGGTATTTTTTTAAAAAAACTACACCTTTCTGACAACAGTTACACAGTTGATTTGTGCACAGTGGAGTTTTGGATTCAGTTCTCTACAGAATTGATCTTCACTTTTGTTTATTGTACTTTTTAGGGCACAAAATGTCATATCACATGAACTGTTCAAGAAATTGCTCCTCCTTAGGTAGACATAGTCCTAACGTAGGGGAGCTATCCTATGAGATATGGACAAATAGGCATTAAACAGTAGAGATCTACCTTGAGCAAAGTAGGAAAGTCTTGAATGTAAAGAGTCATGCTGTATTAAAGACCACAAATCTTGCATACTCCTTATTAACATTTTTAAATTATTGTTGGAAAATAAGAGTCTAACAATACAGAGGATGGGCATTGTTTCTATAGAAGCTCTCTTATGCCACGATTGGATTCGATCCTCCTTGTAATTTTCATGACCTTTTTTGTAACTATCCAATGCATTTCTTTTAGTGTTCGATGCCTTATCAACTTTCTGTGATACAAAGAGTTGGGAAGAAGCACTTAAAGCTGCAGTTTCTCCTGGAAAGGGATACATCTTCAAAGACACACAGTGACAAAAGAGTTCTGGATATAAATATGAGAAAACAAGATTTGGTCTGCCTTTGGTAACCTACAACAGCCTCCTTTACCCAATTGCATTCCAGATATTTTGAACTACAACGATTAAAATTTCCAGTTGTAAATTATGGGAGGTTGGCTCCAGCACTACTGTATATAGACATGTGGGGAGACTAAATGATTACTTAATTATCTTCATTTCTGCTTACTGTACTTCTTGGGGAGAAGACTGGGTCTCTCATTGCTTATTCTTGGTGAATCTATTAGAAGGGTTAAAGTATTGTTTGTTTTACATTACAGTTAACTGCACTTATTACTGATACACACTTTTTTTTAAACATGACATTTGTGCTGGGAATTTTTGCTGAAAACAATGAGTCTTTCATAATGAAATGAATGGGTAGCTTTTCCTGCACTCATAGGCAAAGGAGCTGAGGTTATGTCAATTTAGTTTTTTTTAACATAAATGCTTTATTGCTTTATGCTCTATTGATTTATTTAAATCTCCTTGCCACCATTATTTACCCTTCTAAGCACAGCAGAGTCGACTAAATACTGTATGTTATTAGAAGTGTTCTAAAATTAAGGATAGGAATATTATCAAATGCTCTGCAGCGCTAGCCTGCATAGGCACTCAGAAGCAAGGCCACTATGGTAGAGCTTACTTCCTGCTAATTAACTAGGTCTTTATTAATTAGGTATAATAAAGAGATGCATCACTTCCATTTTCGGTGAGTACAAAAATTCAGCAATTAGGTGAAAATACGGTTCAAAAGTTGTCTTCTATTATAAAGGGGAGCATCCCTTTAAAATAGAAAGTAAAAGCAACTGGGTGAAGGAAAACTGCTACCACCTATAATGGGCTGTGAAAACAATCCTGGGGAAAGAGGAGGCAGGGCCATTATGTAAGCATCAGCTCTTCTTTCTGTTTCCCGAGGTTATTCTCACAGCCCATTATACCACTGTGCTGCCTGTGACACTCCACTGCCTGTGACCCTTGGCATGTCAGACAGTTTGGGTTGAAAGAGTCAGTGGCCCAAAGTTCCCAAGTGAACCTCCATGGCTGAGGTAAACAAGAATCAGGGTCTATTTTGTCCAGCATCTTATCAATTACACATCACTGGATCTTTTCTAAAAATGTATCTTTGAAACATATTCCAGGTGCATTTATTTAAAACACAAAAAGAAGAATCCCACACAAAAGACAGATACCTATGGTATGGTTTCTTTAACCTTGATCAACATTTCCACAACTTGGCACATGCTAACCTTGTAAGATAATATGTTCAGCAAATCTGTCCAGTTTGACCTACAGCATTCTCTTTGAGCTATTCTTAAGTAGCATTTATCCACAGCAGTTAACATTGAAAAGACCTTCAGAAAAGATAGATCTCATGTCTTCTTCACTTAAGGGGAAAGGGGGGGAGTAAAATTGGATGTGAATTAGCATATTATCTATGACTTTTATGAGAAACGACTTATTCCCTTGACTTCATTCAAGCTTCGAGTATTAATATCCATTGACAAATGAAACCAAACAATTGCCTCAGTTTTCCTTCAAGCCATTCTTTTACACATCCCTTGCTTTTATTAGAATCTCCCAGGGTTATACATTTATGAGGCCAACTCAGAAGGTCACAAAAATATGCAAGTTTTCAAAATAGCTAATTCTCTTTATAATGAATTTAACAATAGCTGTAGTGTTAGTGCAAAGAAAGGAGAAGCAGGAAGAGACAGCTTAGCAAATCCATCTCATGTGCAGGATGAAGCTTTGAACTGCTGTATAAGGCAGAAAAGGGAAGCGGTGAGGGCCGTATATTGACACACACATATTTTTAAGCTTAAATTGGAGTAATCGTTCTCATGAGTTTGCCTACATGCCTCCAAAAACTGTTGATAGCTACATAAAACATCCCTCAGGTTGGTTTTAAGGTCTATGTGCCTACTACTGCAAAAGCCACAGTCTGTGAACTGTAGGCATACTTCCATCAACTGGAGAAGGTTTTGGAAGGTCTTTTGAACTATGATTGGTGTCTCAGGAGAAGGCCCTTGTGCTTTGATAATCTTCTGGCAATTAGCTAACAATCTCTGTGATTCCACATACAAGGCATTCTCGTTTTCTGAAAAAAGAGCAGCACATTGGTCCTCTGGATGTTTTCTTCGGTTTCCTGAAGACCGCCTTAAAATTTCCTTTAGCTCTACTACATCCCCTAACAAATGGCAGAAGTCAAATGGCGAGAGAGACCATTTTTCTTTCATATAGCTCAGTTCTTTGATAGGCAATTCTGGGATGTAACTGTAATTCTGAGAATCTCTGGCAGTCCCGTTCACATAGGTATGTTCTTGGAGGTGCCTGGTGGGATTAAAATCTGAAGGCAGTGGGTTTCTTGTTGAAGGTGGAGTTGTTAAGGGTCCTTCAGAAATGCTACTTGCGAAGGGTTTAATGGTATCTAATTCTGCTTCGTTTTCTACCCCATGGAAACAGCTTGCATAAGACAACTGGCAGCTGCATCTCTCCAGTTTATGTCTGGGTGTAAATGTCTCCTCAGAATTCACTAAACCTGGTGGACCTGTGTCACTGAATGCCACTGCACCTCCAGTTGCATTGTCAGAAAACAGAAAGGATAGTTCTGAAGTACAGTTTTTCTCACTGGGTCTGGCAGCCTTCGGCAAAATGTCAAATGAAGGGTAACCCTGTCCAGCTGAATTATCACTTTTGCTCTGTTCTATGTTCTCCTCTGAGGAAGCCATTAGTGAACTGGATCTCTTATTTTTATAATCTGTAATGAGAGCATTTCCTGTGAGGTTTCCCCCCCCTGTTTTAAAGTCACCAGCAATGTCTGTAGATTGGCACAGATTATGAGACATATTCATGGCTGATAAATGGGCTGGGACTTGATTTATAACACCATCGTTTAAAGATAAATTATTAATGCCCAGGCCATTTTGGCTAGTAATTCCTTGGCACTCATTATCTGCTTGTTGACAGATTTTTTCATTTTCTGCTGCTGAACTGAAATTTGGCCAGCAAATTTGGCCTGATGTATCACTGCAGTTGAAAAATAGTTCAGTTACATTTGAAATACCCAGATGGTTTCCATCTCCCGATTTCTGCGTAGCACCTTTATTTGACAATTGGCTGATACTTTCTTCAAGGTTTAAGTCTCCAAGGGTCGGGCTGGATTCACACAAGATGGAGTCACTTTTGACTCTCTTGCAGGGTTCTAGCACAACCTGTTCCTGTTTCTCAGCTTTCTCTGCAGGGAGGGTATCCAGGTCCAAGACTGGGGCGAAAGACGAAGGTTTGTCTTGGGTGCTGTTCTGAGACCCTGAAGGTTTGGTAGTAGTGTGTATTATTTCCTCAATCAATACATAACTGACTCCTGTTGGAGGCGTAGCTTTGATTGTACTCGTTTTTTTGTCAAGTGTTTGCTTTATGGAACACTTTGTTTTTACTTCACAATGTCCCTGAACCAGTCTATCTATTTCTGTAAGCTTTTCTGTTTTTTCTTCGCAAGTGGGATCAAGACCTTCCGGGTGAAAATTAATTTCTGGTGTACTTAAATGTGGACTCTGATGGGGTGGCATATAAAAAGAATTTAAAGAACAATCATTTGAGTCTGAACTTTCTCTACTTGCCTGCGCAGAGGCCAGGCACAAGACTGAATTGGGTACTGATGAATTCTGCCCCATTTCTGTTGAATCAGATGAAGAGGTTGAATTTTGGACCACCTGGGGTTTCTGTGTGGCTTCAAGAAGATTGGGAATTTGCTGGGGCTCCTTCAATAAAGTGTCACCTGTGGGGTTTGAAGCTCCTGAAATTATAGCATTTCTACTGCAACAAACATTGGTTTCCAGGGCATGTGGTGAAGCTTTGGGGAAACTAACTTGGGAAGTATAATTTGTCTCGAGGAAGGACCTTCTTTTCCTCAAATTATTGGCACACTTTGGGTCTTTTTCTGGCCTGGATTTCATCCTTCTGCTTTGCCTTGACAGAATGTTTTCATCCAAACTGCCACAAGATGGTAACTCTGAGGAACGATGCAGGGGTAGAATTTCAGACCCTAAAAAATAAAGAAGAGGCCATCAATATGGAGAATTACACAAAGTCGTTTGTGAAAAGATTTATGTTGCTGATGATATGTGTGAGTTGTCTAAAGGTGCATTCAATTCTTTTCTTTCTACAAGCTAATAAAGAAATTACGGAAATACCAGGCATTATACTACTGTCCTGCCTCCCTCACCCTGTCACTGAAAAGTAGTTATTGTAACCAGCTCAAAAGCGTCACCACTGCAAACAGAATTGGAGACCTACTTACCCATCATCCTCTTCCATCCACTTTTGTAATCTTTTTATGGCACAAAGGGGTAAAAAGTTGAGAGAGACTAGAGAAATCCTGCTATCACAGTGTAGTAAGTAGTAGTAGTAGTAAATTTCTAGGTTTTTGGGTTTTTTTACTATAAAACGTTCTCACACAATCATTCCACCACCTATAGTTGCATGAACACAAATAGTACTGCGACAATTTATTTCCGTATATTGGTTCTTTTAGCAACTAAAAGAAAAAAAAAACATCAGAGGAAATGTAATAATATGAAACCCTGAACTAGAATTTTCTTTGCAATAGGTCTTGTGGAATAGCCATTAACTCTCAGCCTTAGGCATCTCTGTCTAAATGGAAACAAAATACTGGGCAGATATGAGGAGTAATATTTTGAATATGAAAGGAAAAGCTAATAATGGCTAGATTTCAGTAAGCGACTGAATCAGCTTTAATTATTCTAAGGGTCTCATATTGCTACTATAGCCATCCTTCCTCTGACCAGGTGTGAGAATGTGAGACCCCCATGAGTAATGGTGTGAAATGTGGAAGAGACCAACAAGGATTGCCAAGGTAGCAGTCAAAATAACACTCCTATTTAAAAGACCTTGGGAGGTTCATACCACAATGGAGATATTCTGGGGATTATCTTTTAACTCACCTGCTTGTGGCTCTATTGGGGTCATCCTTTTGCTTCCATCACAGATGTTATCATCTGAATTAGTCTTTTCAAAGCCAGGGGGAGATCTCAAGACAAAGACAGGAGCCTGACCCTTGCTGATTTTCTCATGATCTTCAGGCTCCTGCAAAGAGCAGCTTTCAGGACTGTCACTCTGGATATTCTTCCCTCCACTGTTGGCTGGAGAGAGATTGGCACAGAGGCTGTAGTAGTCCATGATGTTGCTTTTGGCCAACTTGGATTCTAGAATACTCACACCGTTTTCTCTTCTGGATTCCTCTTCTGGCTGTGGAAGACCCGGACTGGATACCAGGGGCGGCAGGAGGAAAGAAAAGAAATCTTCTTGTGATGTTCCGCTTTCCTCATCTCCATCCACACCAAAAAGCATCTTGTCATTATTGGCCAATTTCTGAAGAGCAGAGTTACAAAACTGAAAAATCTCTGGCCTGCTTGCTGAGCACGCTTCTAAATCATCTTCTTC